CCGCTGAGAAAGCTGCTAAAGCTGCAAGGAAAGCAGGCATGAAAGCTGCCGCGGCTGGCACCGACGACGAAGAGGATGCCCCCGAAGAGGAGGCTGCCGCCGAAGAGGAAGCTGCTAGGAAGAAGAAGAGAGCCGAAGAGGAAGCTGTGAGGAAGAGGAGAGCTGCCGCAGAAGAGGAGGAAATGGAACTTGCAGCAAAGGAAAAGTGCCGCCCGGATGGAAAGGCGAGAGGCTTTGGCAAGGTCAAAGGCTTTGGCAAGGTCCAAGAAGGTTTAGATACAAGATACAAGGATACAAAGGAAACTGAACTCGTCTGAAAAATGTATGTCACTTTGAATGTATGTATCCTTCCCCCCCCACTTGTGACAAAGCAATAAAACTCGTAGTAAAAAATGCAGTCACAGATTCATGTATCCTTAGTAAAAAATGCAATTCATGTATCCTTCCATGTCACGACTGACTGATGTAACCCTAACCCAGATCCAGATTAATGTCATTGGTCATGTCATTGGTTTCAGATTTCTGCCGCCTTGTCATTATTGCCGCCTTTCGCCGCCTTTCGACTGGCTTTGCCTCTGTTTTCTGTCTGTGTTTTTTACTCTGTTTTCTTTCTTTGTTTTCGGTTTCTGTCTCTGGCTTTTTCGGTGTTTACACGTGTGAGTCACAAAACTGGTTCCATTTCTGGATAGCATATCAACATGAACACCAATACCAGCGCTACTGGTGCTACTGGTGCGGCTGCTGTTACCCGAACCAGCAGCCAGAGTCCAGTGAAGAAAGCTGCGAAGAAAACACAGGTTACCACGGACGACGAGTTGCTGCATCCTTCCTCAAATGGAGGATGGAAAATCAGTGGGGTCCTGTTTAGCCAATATTTGCGTCGTCGTACCCAGGTACTTGTGGGCGTTGATGTTGAGATTGCATCCGAGCAAACGTTCTATGCTCTGGACAGGAGTGGAAGGAAAATTATCAACGAAAAGGAAATGTTGGATTTTGCAAAGGCAGTCAAGGCGGCCTGTGGAAAGGAGAGCGAGTTCGATTTTTTGTGCCATGCTGAAACCATAGCTTTCGACTGGCAGAGTAGGAGAGTTGGGATCCATGAGAAATGGGTGCCTGAAGGTTGGAGGTGCTGCTGTGGTAAGATGCCTAGCGGTAGCTGTGGCTGTGTCCGCCCATTCCACAAACTAGATCTCAAAGAGTTCACGACGTTCATGGATGCAGTCAAAGAGGCGTGCAATAATGGGAGCGACTTTTGCCATCATGTCAAATGGGTGGCCCGGACCTTTCATCGACAACAGCGGGAAGAAGAGGCGAAGAAGCAAAGTATCTAGAAGCAAAGTATCTAGAAGCAAAGTATGGAGGAAAGTATGGAGGAGGCAAAGTATGGAGGAAAGTATGGAGGAGGCTCCGTTTGTTTTGTTAGCTAGTAAAACTTAGTTGTTTTAGCTAGTAAAACTTAATTTAAACATCTAACTAACTAATTAGCCACCATGTCGTCTAGAGGTCCAAACTCAATTTGTGTCCTTCCTGTGAAGGGTGCCACACTGTCATAGCACTTCATTGCATCAAGCTTGCAAACTTGGAAATCGTCCATCCATCCAACCCCAGTCAAGGCGTCTAGCACAAATTTGAGGCAGTTATCTGTGTCTGGTTTCATACTTACGGTGTACTCTGTGCTATTAGATTGTGCTGCTTGTAATAGCTTTCCCTTGGGTCTGGTTCTGTTTCCATTGACAAACATGTTTTGTGGAGGCCTCTTGTACAATCTCACCCTACCCATACTGGACCTGCTGGTAAAATAGGTGGTTCGCCAATACCAATGCCAAGCTCGCTCCTAGCTTCAGTGGCAAACTGTTTCATCTTTGCCTCGGATGGATTGTACGTCCACCGCTTGATAAATGGGATTCCTTTGACCTTCCCAGCTTTCTTTGGCGGTCCACACTGCATGGCATGGAACCTTGGGGATTGTTTTGGGACAATATCACCAGTCACAGTAAATTTGTAGCTGTCCACACCCTGTTGACTCTGGTGCTCTCCTTTTCCTTTCCTCTCCATCCGAGAGAATCTCTATAGGGTTGTTGACGTCTACCATGTTGGCATCATCTGCATCTGTTGCTTGTGAGACTTCTGCGGGATCTGGATCTGCTGTGAAATGGCAGTGTTCTGGGATCTGCTGACACCACAACAGAAAAATGGGGGACATTGCTACATGTGTCGTGTTGTGTGTAAATAGGTTGGTTGGGACCTTTGGCTAGTCCCGGCATCTCACTTTGTTAGACACTTTGTTAGACAGCTGGTAGATCCCGGATCCGCTTGGAACTGTTTCTACCCACACTCATGCCCTTGGGTTTCTGTTTCCACCCTGTCCTCTAATCGCTGTGGTCTGTTTCCACCCACACCCTTGACCCATTCTCAAGGGTGTGGGTGGTAACAGAGTTTATTCACTGTGCCAATTTCAGTACCAGCCAACAGTACCACAGCACCCTACTCCCAGGCTGAAAACAACGTGCCGACTCTATTTGGGCAACGGTGCCTGTTACCCACAGTTTCATACCTATTACCAGTACCCCCATAACTTTCCTAGCTAGCAACCTGATCAAGATGTTACGGTGGTACAGCAGTACTGGTATCCACCTCCTCAGTGGAAACACTTGCTTTCCACTAGCTAGCTAGTGAAGAGTCCTGCCTGTTCAGCAACCAGAATAGCTTGCCTGGGTTTGGCTCTGAGGAAGCAGGGGCTGGGTGCATTCTTTGATTGGATTCTTTCTTTGTAGCTAGCTACCGCTTGATAGTAGATTCACGCTGGAGCATCGTTCGATCGTCAACATGCGTAATACCTATAGCCTTCCACGCCGTGGTGCTGGATTCCATGATTTGAGGGCCATTTGAGGATGTGTTCTTCGCCGATCTGTGGTTCAGCTGCAGTTTGGCTAACTACATGTATTTAGCACCATGAAGACCGCTCCCGTACGGTCCTGACGGTCTCGACTCTCCTACCAGGCAGTGCATGTTAGTTAGCTAAAGAATCAAGTAGATAGAGTGTGTGTCTGTAGTCCATTGCTAGCTAGCTAGTAGTATTACAGTGTGCTTGTCTTCTTTGTTCAAAAACTAATATTTGCTTGTGTTTTTACTGTTGTTTTACAATTTGTACTGTCTGGTCTTGTTGTTGCTGCTGCTGTTGCGGACCGCAGACTGTCTCTTGTGTGCCATGTACATGTGTGTTTCAATACGAGGCATCATGAGCATGTGATCAATGTTGCGAATTTTGGGAAAGAGTCGCTGCAGTCGATGACGACGTTGGGCTTCTTCGGTTTCCACAGTCTCGCGCATTTCGCTCAAGACTTCTTCACTAACGTGCCATTGTCGCGACAGCGCCACAATGGCTTCCCATTGATGAGCACTTTGGAATCCGCCGACACAGGCACCGCACATCATATCGTAGACGACAGAAGGTGCCGCTTTGGAGGAGAATGTAGACGCTAGCAAAGCACAGTCTTCTTGGAATTCTTCTTCACTCAAATCACCCGCTTGTTCCAACAAGGCATCGACCGATTCAATCAAAACAGACGGAGCCGATTTGGTGACCAAGAATCCCTTGAGCCAACTCGACTGTTCTTTGGTGTAGTCGTTCTGTTTGCCCAAAGCCATGCACAGTGCTTGCGTGTAGTGCACTTCAATGGCGGAGCGTTCGTGCTGAGGGCCAAAGTGATCCTCATAGACAAATGTGTGGAATCGAGACTCGTACGAAGTGGAGCAAGTGGAATCCTCCGTGTCTGTTACCGTGGCGGCAGTGTTGGTGGGGGTCATCATGTTCATCGAAATCATTGTTAGTATTACTGAAGAAGTGTTTGTGTTACTGAAGAAGTGTTTGTGGTGTTTGTGTGTTTGTGGTGTTTGTGGTGTTTGTGGTGTTTGTGGTGTTTGTGTGGAGTTCAGATTGTGAGACCTGAGAGAGAGAGATTGTGAGCAAATTGGAACCTTCGGTTTTGTTTCATGCACGGTGTCACGGGACGGTTTTACAAAAGTAAAAACCGAACAACTGTTTTACGACTGTCAACCAACCAGAGATGTCCAGCCAGTTTTCCAGTTAAGCCCGCCTGAGTAACAATCATGACATCACTACCAGTTCAACTCAAATCATGTAGATAAGACAAACGTTTCGGCGGAAGTGATGATCCAACATTTCTACATGTTTAGAGACCCCTCCTACTCACCTTGCTGCTCTCAAACATGTCTTTTCTACACAATGTTTGTTACAGAAAGTATTATACGGAAGGAAGGACAGAACAGCAGTTCTATTACTATTCGGGGGCCCACTTGGTCATTGTCCTAATTCCCCACCTGGCGGACTCATCTGCTTTACATGTACAGTCGTACCACGAGTATTCAGATCTCAATTCTTATTACTAGCTAGTCTACGTAGGTAGCTACCAGCTAGCTAGCTACATGTAGTAGATGTAGAGGAGAGGCACCAACCAAGATCAACGAATATTGCATGCTCAGAGTATTGCCGTGCATGCTACCGGTATACCGGTATCCTGCAGCTTTCCTGCGATGCGTGCTGCAAAGCATATGTACAACTGGCTAGTACTTCGCTCAAAAAGACAGAACCCACACAGGTGAGCTCGCGGTTGGTGGTAAATGGGCGACTCCTAATTCAGAAAGAACCCCTCCAAGCGACTGCATCTATTGTCCTATGTCTCATCTACTGGATTTGGTCGTTGATAACCACGAATCCAACTTTGTTGGCAGGCATTTTCATCCAAAAGCATCTTGTCCAAAGAATCCATCTTCTTTCACAGTGAGTCTTTTCAAACTGCTGAAGGGCGATAGATACTATAAACGTAGCTGAGGTAAATAAAAGGATATTGCTGTATTTTCAGGGATTTATTTATAATGAAAATACCAATTGTTTACCGCACCTTCCAAAATTGCCTTCCAGGAGTTTTCATTCATACCAGTGTGAGCTCCAGTAGCTGCTCCAGTGTTGAAGATTTCAATCAGTCTCCGACCAGCCAAACTGCCATAAGCCACAAGGATATAATGGGAATGGCCCCTCGACTCAAAGGTACAGTCCGAACATGCTTGCCAGAGTTTGTCAGTGACATGCTCCAGCGTCTCCAGTCATAATTCAGTAATCGACTGTGACTCGATTGTCATACTTACTGTTATTATTTCATTATTTATTTCATCAGTGGCAGCCAAGAATCTAAGAATCTCTTCTCTTGCTTCGCTGTTTTCAAAGAAGTTCGGCGTGCAATTTCTCCGCTGCCACTGGCACCTGCTGGTTCTGTGTTCTGTAAGACCGATGTATGTTCATACGGAGGTTGCATGTTCACGAGCTCCACAACACGTATGCATAGCCCGAGAGTGATGAGTCGAGTCTTGGCCGCATCGAGGTATAATAGTCAGACTAGCTACTCAGTGCATGCCTTGTACGTACTGGTACATGCTTGTATGCAAAGCTGCGGGGTTGTGCTTACCAGTGAAATAGGAGGCTAATAACAAGATCTAAAGATCTCGTTGTGCTGCCTGGTCTACCCATCTTCATTCTGATACACCTGGATGCGTGGGAGTCGAGTGACAGTGAGAGTGGAGTCCAGTCGTGGTGGTCTTGCCAATGCTGTTTGTTTGTTTGTTAATCTCCAACGGTGCTGAGAGGGGTTGGGTAACACGAGATGCCACTAGTGGCAGAGCTCCCCTTCGCCTTTCAGCACCTAGGAACTGTTACTACTAATAAGTTACTACTATCTGCTCTAAAACTCACCGGTTTCCTATCAGTTGCGATATGATGGCTGGGTAGCTGCGTTGCTGCAGTCAGTAGCCCAGCCGGTTGTGGGAGTCAAATAGAGTGGTACTTTGCCGTAGCTGGCTTTCACCACCGACTCTCAGGTTCGTTTCTCGATTGCGAGTGTGAGTGCTGCTGTTCTAAATCAGGATTCGAGTCAGGACCCGAACAAGTACAAAGCTCTAGCTAAAGCGAAGTCAGCTAGGAAGAGCTCTCAAGACAGAAGCCTTAGCTTTTTTGCGTTCTGTTGGTACCGCAAGGTAGCCATCGCAACCACACACCCAGCCACCAACCGTGTGATTCAGGAGTATGGCGCATGGTGGCTTTCGTGTAGCTTGCTTCGGCTCCATAGGCAGCTTCTCATTTGGGAGCACCACAGCAAGAACCAGAGTTCCCAAGTACGCAACATGTATGTAGTGGTACCAGTCCTGGCAGCCTCGACCACTGGCAAAGGAGCCTGGAGCCACCCAGCCAGTTTCGGAACTTGCATGCAACAGTGGCTTGTACAGCGCCCACTTGGCTCCTTGCCTCGCAACCCCAGCTGGAGTAGTTCAGCTGTACCGGTAGCGGGATAGTCGAGAGTCGAGAGGACAGACTGTGTCGAACCATTGCGGTATCCTGGATGAATTCGCTTTTGACCTGATTGCAATTCTCGAGACCTCAGTGGACCCAGTTGACGCAGAGAGAACCAGAGTTGGATGCCTGCTGTTGGTACCGCGGGCTAGAAGAAGCCATCGCAACCACGCAACCGGTATGGCGCATGGTGACTTTCGTGTGGTTTGCTTTGGCTCCGATAGCTTCTCATTGGGCAGCCGAGCACAGCAAGAACCAGAGTTCGCAAGTGCGCTAGTGGTACCAGACTTCTTCGCCTCGACCACTGGCAAAGGAGCCACACAGTGCGGAATGCATGCAAAATGGTACCGGTACCACGGCGTAGTAGCTACAGCGCCAACTTTGGCTCCTCGCAACTCCAGCTTCCAGCTACGGTAGACCCACTGGCTGGAGTGAATTCGCTTTGGCCCGAGTGCAAGTGACTCTCTAGCTAGAGACTCGAGACCACCATGTTCAAGTTGGAAGCAAGCACGCTGCTTCCTTCTCATTTGGATGGTGCCTGCACGAATTAAGCCAGCGGAGCTGTGTAACCTCGGCAGAAAGGTTGCAGTGTAGAAGCAGATACCCCTATTAGCTAGCTAGCTAGAAGCAGATACCTCTAGTGCTTAGCTAGTGCTTAACTTGCGCTTAGCTAGCAAGAAGCAGATTCCCCCTAGCTAGCTAGCTAGAAGCAGATTCCCATAGCAAGCTAGAAGCAGATACCCCTAGCTAGCTAGAATACTAGTTATATAGCTTTCGCTGGCTTTAGAGTTTTTCCTGGTAGAAGCAGATCCGCCTACTAGGATGCATGTAAATAGCTTTAGCACCATCCCAGGATACTTATTTAGTTTTTGCTGACTTATTTGTAATCTAACCCTACCCTTATACCTGCAGGGACCACCGTAGCAGGAAAAACAATTCGGCTTTTTTTCAGCGCTGGTCTCCTGTTTCCTCAGTTTGCTCGCTACTTGGATCCATATGACGAATAGATGCAATCCAGCCATTGTATAGCCAGCTACGGTACCGTAGGCAGAGAGTTACATCGATCCGTGACAGTGGCAACAGTACCGAACACACCCAGGTTCCGCTTTACTGGCTACACTCCGTTACCGTACCTTGCATTGGATCCTTATGACGAATACTGCACACGAACATTGTCAATCCAGCCGTTGTAGCCAGTTGCCGTAGAGTTACATCGATCCGTGACAGTGGCAACAGTTTACCAAAACCACAACTCAGGTTCCGCCTTACTGGCTACACTCCATTACCGGTTCCTTTCATTGGATCCTTATGACAAATACATGAACAACCGAAGATTTGTCAATCCAGCCATTTTAGCCAGGTACGGTTAGACTTCATCGATCAGTGACAGTGCCAACAGTAACGAACACACACAGGTTCCACTCAGGGTCGCTGCACCGGGTTACCTCGCATTTGGATCCCTTATGACGAATACATGCACAAAACCGACTATTGTTAATCCAGCCATTGTAACCGGCTACCGTACAGTTACATCGGCGACAGTGTCAACAGTACGGAACCACACTCAGGGTTCCGTCTTGCAGGCTAACTCGGTGCCGGTATCTTGCATTGGATCCTTATGAACGAATAGACTACAATGCACAACCGAATAATTATGGATCCACCATTGTTGCCGCTTGCGGTAAATAGCTACATCCACGATAGTGGCAACGTAGAAGTTGGTTGCTCGCTACGGTTTACCGATCCCTGCATTGGATTCTATGAGCAATACATGCCAAACAGAATATTGTCAATTCAAGCATATTGTAGCCATTACCATAAAGTTACATCAACGGTGACAAGTAGCAACGTACTAGTACCGAACACACTCAGGTTCCGTATTTTACTGGCTATATCACGTTACAGGTACTTGCATTGGATCCTTTATGCACGAATACATACACAACCGAAAATTGTCAATCCAGCCATCTTAGCCATTATCGTATGAGTTACATAATCGGTGACAGTGGCAACAGTACCGAACCACTCGGTTCGGCTTTGCTCGCTGCACTCGTTACTTTCGATTGGATCTTTATGAGAATACACACACACCGAATATTGTCAATTCCAGCTTGGTTAGCCATGCGTCGCGTTTAGCTAGTGGAACAGTATTGACTTGCAATCGGAAAACGGTACGACCAGGAATACACCAAAACACTATGAAATATCACTGGAGGGGGAATCCAGTAGTAGGATCCTTCTTGTGTGTTGGTTCGCGTGCACTCCTCATGTTGCATTTATTACTCGACGATCCGTTTCAGACTGTTGGTAGTTAGGGTGGAGTTAACAGAGCCTCCTCCGTTAGCGGTAGCGTTCCTCTTGCTGTTATCCAGAGCGATTTCGATCGTCGACAATGAGATTTCCTCGGCCGTCAACAGTAAGAGAAAAGAAAGTAAGAAATAGATATGGTTTTCTCTTCTATTCTGACACTGAAGAAACCCGGCGACTTACCTTGCTTTTGAAATTGCACCAACTTGGCGTCATGGGGCCGAGAAATGACTGCCATCCCATGGTCCATAGATTTCA